CGTTTGGGAGGTGGGAAAAACACTCATGAGTCCTCACTCGAACTCATCATCATCACAGTCATCATCATCATCGTCACCATCATCATCATCATCGTCACCATCATCATCGTCAGCTAGCCTGCTACTACCTACAATATCTCCCACATCGGGAAAGGTATACAACGAAGGATGGGAAGCATCCCTCGGGATATGACCTTGCCTGCAAAAATAATCATAGACCGGATGCATAGATAAGCGAAAATCGGTCTCAAGGGTCTGGATACAAGAGTATAGGCCTTGCTGGCCTAACTGAAGTTCCTGTATGCCGGCCATGATGGCCTCATTATCATAGGGGACAGGTGGGGCAGTGGAAGAGGAAGAGGGTCCAGCAGACTCTCACCTATAATAGGTCCTCGTAGGGGCAACCGATGGAGGTGGACCGCTTGGAGCCTCTAGAAGGTATGAAGGTTGGTGAGGGCGAATCTTTGTGAGTTTGGGAGCGGGTAGGGAGATGGAATTCCTAGTGCCCTTTTTGATGAGCCAGCTGTAACTACCAAAATCAACCGGCAACCAGCCGGTGGTGGTGAAGTAGTGCTGGTCTAAGGTGATAGAACCCGGCACTAGTGTGTGGTGGGCTTCATCAAAGCCCTCCTTGACTGCCAAGTGAGTCACCAAACCGCCTAAAACTATGGGAATGTTAGTGCGGTCTCTGTTAGATTTGACAGTGGTGAAGGTGACCCCTTGCTTCCTAAGGTGAACGACAAATAGGTGGGTAATGTTCATTTGAAAGCCCTCATCATCATCCCCATATCTCAGGTAGCTACCCAAGATTGCAACCTCATCCGCCCTAACATTGTTAGGTTCTATCCTCCCAAAAATGGTCCACCTAGAGAAACGAGTCCAAAGCCTAAGTTCGGGTTGGTGAATTTTATGGCGGGGGCATGTTGCATGGACTCAATGTTCTCACCAGTCATAACATACCATAGATCCCCTGACATGAAACTACTAGGTTGCATGGTTAATCCTGTGGCCGAAAGACCAACTTTCCTAGCAAAGCCCTCTTATGTGAGTCGGTGGGATTTTTTTAACAGCCTGTAGACAACATGTGTTACCAAACCATCTCTCCCTTTAACTACGTTAAAAGAGCTCAAGAATTCAAGGGTGATGTCCTCATTTGTGTAATGTATCATATTAAACAATTGAGACATGCCAAGCTTAGAGAATAATGTTCTACATTCGGAATCAATTCCTAATTTAGAAAGAAGAGAACGATCAATGAAACGGGTAGGAATTACCTTTCGATGTTGGAGCTCCAGGAGGCGCGTCTTTTGGTTCGGGAACTCAGCCACGAACTTGATGTGAGGGAAAGTTGGAATGCTCTACAAATCATGTTGAGGTTGTTGAGGTGCGCCTCTTGTTCTCTTCTTTGAAGCCATTGTTGTTTTTCAAAGCTTTCTCTCTCTAAAAGTCAAGAAAGTTGGGAATTTTGATGAGGAGGATGTTTTAAGGTAAGAGAAGTAGTAATGGAGGTTGAGGATTGAATAAGGAAGATGAAGGATGAAGAAATTGAAGAATTTGAGTGAAAATTATGAGGATTAGAGGAGAGGATGAGAGTTAGGGTTTGTGAATTTGGGGATTTTTAGAGAGAGAAAGTGTAGGAATAGTAAGGAGAAGGAGTTAGAATGTGAAGAAAAGAGGGGGGTCGTGCTCTCTTAAGGTGCCGAAACTCCTTGCGCCCGATCAGGCATAACGCGCCCGGTCAGACCGGGCAACGGAGGTTGAGTATTTCCCTCGAATTTTCTTCCAAATCTGGCTCTCGCGCCCGATCGGGCATGGGTTACTCGGTTTGATCGGGCGGTGTAGGTTTCCCATTTTTTTTTTTTTTGAAGTAATAAAATAAGTTGGCCCTCGCACCCGATCGGGCTTTACATGCCCGGTCGGATTGGGCAGTGGGGGTTAACTTCAGCCTCAATTCTTCTTCCCTTTTCGCTTCTCGCACCTGATCGGGCACCTCATGCCCAATCTACCAGGGCAGCGAGTTAATTCCTCATTTTATCAACCCTTGATGACATTCTTGACATCCCACTTCTTTCATATCTTGGTGTTCTCTAAAAACCAAAACAAACACAAACACAAACACAAACACAAAACTAAAAAAAAAAAGAATGACAATATGAAAAGCTAAGAAAAACGGGTTGCCTCCCGGAAGCGCTTGTTTATGAGGTCGTTAGCTTGACCGTAGTGATGCTCGTTAAGTTGGTGGTGGGGAAGAGAGTGTGATATCCACCTTCTCTTCGATAGGATCTCCGACTCGGTAATGCTTCACCCTTTGTCTGTTGACCTTGAAAGTACCACCGGTCTTGTTCCATAGTTCAATAGTGCCGTAGGGGTAGGCCTTAAAAACAGTGAAGGGACCCGACCACTTAGACCGAAGCTTTCCGGGAAACAACTTCAATCGCAAGTTGAAAAGATGAACTTGATCTCCTTCCTTGAATTCCCTCCTCACAAGGCCCTTATCATGCCACTTTTTAGTTCTCTCCTTGTATAATTTTGAACTTTCATAAGCTTCGAGGCGGAGCTCATCTAGTTCATTCAATTGTAGCAACCTCTTCTCTCCCGCTGCTTTAGCATCAAAATTTAGGCTTTTAATGGCCCAAAATGATCGGTGTTCTAGCTCAACGGGTAGGTGGCATGCTTTCCCATAGACAAGTCTGTATGGAGTTGTACCTATTGGTGTTTTAAAAGTTGTTCGGTATTCCCATAGTGCATCATCAATCTTAGCTAACCAATCTTTTCTTGTTCTTGCAACCGTTTTCTCTAAGATAGACTTGATTTCACGGTTGGACACTTCAACTTGACCACTGGTTTGAGGATGATAGCCAATGCCAAGCCTATGTTGCACTCCATATTTCTTCAACATCGCTTCGAACCGATGCTCCAAGAAATGTGTTCCCTTGTCACTAATCAACACATGTGGGATACCAAATCGGGGAAAAATAATTTTCTCGAAAAATTTACTTACCGCATGAGCATCATTGGTTGGAGTAGCAATAGCTTCAACCCATTTTGACACATAGTCAACGACTACTAGGATATATCGGTTTCCCTGAAAAGAAGGAAACGGACCCATGAAGTCTATCCCCCACACCTCAAACAACTCGACCTCGAGTATGTTGTTGAGTGGCATCTCATTCTTCCTAGAGATATTGCCCGTTCGTTGACAACGATCACAAGCCTTGACATAGGAATATACGTCTTTGAACAAGGATGGCCAATAAAAACCGCACTGCAAAATCTTCGCGGCTGTCTTCGAAAAACCTGCATGTCCACCACATGGTAAGTCATGGAAATGAGAAATGACATTATTTACCTCACTCTCTGGGATGCATCGTCTGATCACTGTGTCTGCGCAAAGCTTATACAAGAAAGGATCCTCCCAAAAGTGTCTCCTTGCCTCATAGAGGAATTTCTTCCTTTGTTGAGACGAGTAGCCATGAGGCATTGTACTTGTAGAAAGAAAATTAGCCAAATCAGCATACCAAGGCGATTCAATTATTGAAAGAGAAAGTAGATGTTCATCAGGAAAGGAATCATCAATGGGGAGATCGTCTCCATCCCCCTGTTCTAGGAGGAGACGAGAAAGATGATCTGCAACGACATTTTCAAAGCCTTTCTTGTCCTTAATCTCAATGTCAAAATCTTGTAGCAAAAGAATCCAGCGGATTAAACGAGGCTTTGCATCCGTTTTACTCATCAAATATTTTAAAGCTGCATGATCTGTATGAATAATCACTTTGGAACCAACAATGTAAGAACGGAATTTATCTACTGCAAATACTACTGCTAGCATCTCTTTCTCAGTTGTGGCATAATTCATTTGAGCAAAATCTAGAGTCTTACTAGAGTAATCAATAGCATAAAGTTTATCGTCCTTTCGCTACCCCAAAACAGCTCCTACCGCATAATCGCTAGCATCGCACATAATGTCGAACGGTAGGCTCCAATCTGGAGGCTGCATGATTGGAGCAGAGATCAAGGCTTCCTTCAACTTGTTAAATGCCTCAAGACAATCATCAGTAAAGATAAATGGAGCATCTTTTGCTAAAAGTTCAGTTAGAGGCCGAGCAATTTTTGAAAAGTCCTTAATGAAGTGACGATAAAAACCTGCATGACCAAGAAAACTTCGCACTCCTTTTACAGAGTTCGGTGGGGGTAATCGCTCAATGACTTCTATTTTGGCTTTATCAACCTCAATACCCTTGTTTGACACAACATGACCCAAAATGATTCCCTGTTGTACCATAAAACGACACTTTTCCCAGTTTAAAATTATATTAACTTCCTGACATCTATGGAGCGCCTTTTTCAAGTTATCAAGACATACATCGAAAGATGTTCCATAAACAGAAAAATCATCCATAAACACTTCCATAGAATTTTCTATAAGACCTGAAAAAATTGCCATCATACAACGTTGAAATGTGGGTGGGGCATTACATAATCCAAACGACATTCTATGGTATGCAAAAGTGCCATATGGGCATGTAAATGTGGTATTTTCCTGATCACAAGTATCCGTCCAAATAACAGAAAAAAGAATTCTTAGCTAAACGTTCAAGCATCTGATCAATAAAGGGGAGGGGGAAATGGTCCTTCCGGGTGACCTTATTCAACCTTCTATAATCAATACACATTCGCCAATCTATAACAGTCCTAGTGGGAATTGGCTCACCCTTGTCATTCTTAACAACGGTCATACCTCCTTTTTTTTGTACTACTTGTATAGGGCTAACCCACTTACTACCTGAGATAGGGTAAATTATTCCTGCAGCAAGCAATTTAAGAACCTCTTTTTTAACTACCTCCATCATATTTGAATTAAGCCTTCTTTGAGGTTCTATGGAGGAGGCATGATCGTCCTCAAGAATGATTTTATGCATACAAAAAGAGGGATTAATACCCTTAATATCATAAATGGTGTACCCAATAACATTTTTATATTTTCTCAAGACAGTTTGCAGTTACTCCAATTCTATGTCATTAAGCTCAACATCAACAATAACAGGGTATGTATTATTAGGACCAAGATATGCATATTTGAGGGTAGAGGGAAGGGGTTTCAACTCTACCTCGGGAGGCGTAGTACTCTCCCCAACACTTGATACACTAAGGACTTCCTTGACTGGAGCGGTGATTGGATTGGCTTTTGCTACCTCTAGTAGCCTTGTATACTCCCTTGTTTCCCAATCTTCATCATTAGCACTCCCTATTAACACCGTTTCAAGCGCATCTTCCGTTTTAATCAAGGGAAGTTGTTCACGTTGTAAATCATCGAGGATATCCACTTGAAAAATAGTCTCTCCCATGGAAGGAGTTCCCATGTCATTCAAGAGTGAATACTCCATTTTCTCATCCCCTACTTCAAAAGTGATTTTACCATTCTTCATATCAATGATTTCTCCCGCGGTAGCTAAGAATGGTCTACCAAGAATGATAGGGACATGTGCATCCTCCTCCATTTCCATCACAACAAAATCACATGGAATAAAGAATTTTCCCACGCATAGTGGAACATCTTCAAGTACACCCAAAGGAAACTTGACTGACCAATCCGCAAGTTGTAAAGATATACGTGTAGGCTTTAGTTCACCCATTTGAAGTTTCTTGCAGATAGAAAGCGGCATAAGACTCATACTTGCACCAAGATCACATAATGCCCTGTTGATCTCTATGTCCCTAAGTTTCACCGGAATTGAATAGCTACCTGGATCGCCTAATTTCTTAGGAAGTGTGTTTTGCAAAATTGCACTACACTCTGCAGTCAATGCAATTATAGCATTCTCTTCTAGATTCTTCTTGTTAGAGAGCTTATCCTTTAAAATTTTGGCATATGATGGCATCTCGGATATTGCATTTAAGAATGGAATGTTAATGTGAAGCTTCTTCAGAATATCAAGAAATTTTCCATACTTTTTCTCTAACTTGGCTTGGGCTAACCTCTGTGGAAAAGGAACCTTTGGCACATATGGAACAAGAGGTGGTGGAGTCGTTTCCTTTGGCTCTTCCTCAATCATAGTACTTTCAACTACCTTTTCATTTGCACCTACCCCTTCAACAACCTCCCTTGATGGCTCCAATTTTTTTCCACTCCTTACAGTCACGGCATTCATATGCCCCTTTTGTGGTTACTCTGTTTGACCCGAAAAGGTACCCGGTGTCTTTGAAGATTGGCCAACTTGATGAGCAAGTTGACTTATCTGATTTTCCATGAGCTTCCTCTGAGCTTGTAACTGTTGGATGGAATTGTTTGTTGTGATAACGAAGTTTTCCATCATTAGTTCAAGGTTGAATTTTTAAGGAGGTGGTTGTTTGACTGGAGGTGGCCTTGGTTGGAAACCAGGTGGTGCATTGTAATTGTTGTTTCGAGGTGGTGGTGGAGGTGGATTTTGTTGGGCTTGGGTATTCGTTTAGGAAAAATTTGGGTGATTCTTCCAACCTTCATTATATGTGTTAGAGTGGGGGTCATATGACCTTTTGGGGTTAGAAGTGTAGAATGCATTGGCTTCCTCGATTGGTATCTCATTTGAATTTTGTGGGCAATTAGGTGCGATGTGACCTTGCACATTACATATTTGACAAGTCTCAAGTAAGCTAGCGGATGATCGAGCTTGGAGTCTGTCAAACTTGCTTGACAATGCCTGCACAGAGCTAGTCAAAAGTGTTAGAGCATCAACATCTAATTTACCTCCCTTCTTCACACTGTTTCGGCCTCCTGGGTGATAGTTATCATTGGCCGCCATCTTCTCAACTAGTTCCATCGCCTCAGTTGGGTTCTTAGTCAAGAGAGAACCCCCAAATGCAGTGTCAATATAGATTCGGAACTCATGAGTTAAACCATTATAGAAGGTTTGGATCAACATCCATTCAGGAATACCATGGTGAGGACATTGTCTCTACAATCGCTTCAATCTCCTCCATGCGTCATATAGGGACTCATCATCTAACTGTTTGAAAGTAGATAACTTGTTTCTCAACCTTGCAGTCTTTTCTTGTCCCAAGAACTTGACTAGGAAAACCTTCACCAGTTTATCCCATGTGTCAAATGAGCCAGAATCTTCATCTCTCAACCATTCCTTTGCCCTATCCGGTATTGAGAAAGGAAAAAGGCGAAGTCTAAGAGCATCATCTATAACACCATTTAATTTCATAGTATCACATTTCTCCAAGAAACTATCAATGTGACTCACTGAGCAGTCATGAGATGTGCCTGCAAACGATTCATTGGTGATGAATTGAATGAATTGTGGTTTCAATTTGAAGTTCTGAGCAGTGACAGGTGGTCTAGAAATGCTTGAGGGGAGTCTGATTGTTGTATCAGGAATACCGTACTCCAAAAGATATTTCGTGTCGTCTTCCACGTTTCTATTGTTTCGATTTCTCCCTCTTCTTCTACCTCTTCGTCTCCTTACAGTTACTTCGATTTCAGAATCAAAAGGTGCTAAATCGTCTAACCCTGAACGTTTTGTTTGCATGCAACAAAGAACTAAAATAAGAGTATCAAAAACACAAGAAACAATAGCCGAAGCAACGAATAAAGCTTAGTAAAAACGAATCATAAATAATCAGAAAAAAACCGTTAGTCCCCGGCAACGGCGCCAAAATTTGATAGGCGTGTCGCGTACCTAACAAAAATAAACCAAACAAGACCACTACTATGTAGACGGGCAAGTAAGGATCGAATCCCAAGAGACTAAGGTTTACCTAATAAATTAGACTCAAGCAATCACAAAGCAAGTAACCAATCGATAGTGAAGAACACTAATAACTAAAATATCTAAATGGCACAATTAATCTAAATAAAATGATAAATAAATGAACTAAAACATCTAAGATCAAGCATTACCATGAATATAATCGATAAATTAATAAATCTACCCCAAATAACGAATCAATTGACAAGAGGAAAAGCATCCCTAAACAATACCAAAGGTCTCTTCCGAGTTATCAATGGCTTCCCATATCAACTATCAAGCCTATTTTCATGGAATCAAGCAATAAGGGACATTAAACACAATACTGAATTTCCTAATCATCCAATCACCTACTTCTGTGATGATCTTCAAACCCTTATTTGAAATACCCAAATCTCATTAATACCCAACTTCCGTTGCAATAAGAACAAAGGGATGATAACAATACTAATTATTCCTAATCTAGCATTGGCATAAATACAATAAATTAAGCATGCCAATTGGGATTATTATTGGAGGAATTAAAGATTCAATTCATATATCAATCATATTCGGGCCTTGCAAGATCTCGGATTATGAATCTACTCACACATACTAACAAAACCAATAACAAGATTCAATAGACAAGACATAATCAATAAGCAATAAGAAATAAAAGAGAAGTGAGATAGATGAATATCAATTGCTTCAATCTAAAGAACTCGAATTGTTAATGAACAATAAATCAAACTAAGAGTAGAAATTAATTTCTTAGAGAGAGTAAACTAGGGTTTTTTAGGTAAAACTAATACTAGAGGATATAATAATTTGTCTTTTAAATGTGATTACAAGGGGTATATATACCCTTAAAAAGATGGGTATTTGAAATTAACTAAAACGAGTTCCGCGCAACGGTGTCTGGTCTGACCAGGCAAGGGCTGCTCGATCGGGTGGCCAGAGTACAACATCTGCTTCTGCAATCCTCTTCTTCTGCCCGGTCTGCCTGGGCAAGCTATGCCCGGTCGGGCGCGCGTAGCAGCTTCAAGAGTTGAATTGTGGAAATCAAACCTCTCAGTGCCCAGTCTGCCCGGGCATGTAGAAGCTGTGATAGTTCTTCGTAGTTAGCTCTTCTTTCTTCGGCCTAGTAGCCAGGGCATGGAATGCCCGACAGGGCATGGGGGAAATCTTCATCTTTCACTCAACAACTTCTTCTATAACCATCTAAAACACGTCCGATTCATCTAAGAAACTCCGTATTCCTGTGAAACTTAATATAATAGATCAAACACACTAGAGAAGAGATTGTTAGCAAGAAATGGCTCCGTAGAACCCAAAACCATGCAAATATACGCTAAAGAACCGGGGTAAAACATGGTATAAAACACATACATCAATAAGACTTTATTTACTTAATCCCAAATCTTAGTTAAAATGAAGTATTTTTGTTTTAGACTTGTGAAAAAAATGGTGTAAAACCATCAGCTGATGTGATTTGGCTTTTCAAGCACACAAAAAAAATAAGGAAGGCCAACTTCAGTGGGCTGATGATTCTTTCTCTAAGGAAATTTATGTAAGTGCAATTTGAAATAGCTATTTATAACATGTATTATTTGGTATTTGCTTCAAATATATTGCTTTTATGATACCATTCTTGAAACCAACAACAAATCTTATTAATAATTGTTTTCACTTCAACAATTGATGCACATTTTAGGAACAATTAAAAGTTGCAGTTGCTACGCTTGGTGACTCGATGACACAAGAGGATATTCTTTTGGATGTTTTGAAACCCAGATCTGGTTACTTTTGTTGGAAAGGTACAGCCTTACGTGGTTATAGTAAGGGAAATAGACAATAACTTGAGCAGCAAAAGAAGACTCAAGCGCAAGATGAAAGGATAAAAGAGTTAGAAGAGACTCAAGAACAAACAAAAAAACAGCTACAAGGGACAGTTGAAGCAACATCAAGGCAACTAGAACAACAAAAGCTAGATGTGCAACGTGCAATGGATGCAATGAAGGAAGAATTATCGCGAAAATTTTTAAACAAAGGTACATGCTAAAATCTATTTCATAAAAGATGTCATTGACTATTTACTTGGAGATACTTATCTGTTTTACAAAAATTTTACTTGACGATAAAAATTAATTTAACTTTGATTTCAAGGTATTGTTTTTTCCCCTATTGTCCTTAGATTTTGTAAATTCTTTTAAACTCCATCACATTGCATGGGATAAGGATATTTGAAATAGCACATGATTAATTTCAAATATCTCTTTATAATCTTATTATGTATTATGAAATATGTAGTACTATATAAATCATATTATACTGCTTTTATACCCTTAGACATGCACTTGTGCACTTGCAGGATGTTGATGTAGATGTCATTGAAATATGTAGGAGAATGCTTTTAGAGAAAAGTGATGGTGAATGGTAGAATGTGTTATCTTGGATATATTCATATGATAATGTAATATTTTGTGACGAAGGTGGATGTACCTTTTTGGGATGATGATTGATATAACTATTTAGGATAATGCTTAGTTTTATTTTGGATATGAAAATTCTGAAGAATGGATGTAATATTTTGAGAAAATCTTAATGATGAATGTAATATTTTGGATATGACTATTGGAATGATATATATGCTACATTTTGGAGGTAATTTTCGGATGACATGATTAAATTAATGCTTTATCATTTTACTGGATTTATATGAATTATTACAAACATAATAATTTATATATTTATTGAAAAATATTGTTTGGGCAACAATTTTTGTCGTTGCTGTAAATGCATATGATTATAGCAGTATAGTGAGTTTGAGCAACAACAAATGTCATTGTAAAAACTATGTATTTACTGCAACGACAATTATCGTTTTAGTAAATGAGAATACTTCTATCATGAAATACAATGTATGGCAACGACATTATTTTCGCAACAAAAAAAGTCGTTGTGTAAAACAAAGTTTTAGCAACGACAAAAGTTGTCACATTTTTTTACACAACGACTTTTCTCATATTTTTTTACAATAAATCATATTTTTTTACGACTTTTCTCATATTTTTTTACAAAAAAGTTGTTGTCTAATACATAGGGATATATGTGGACCAATGAGTAAACCCGCAAGGCATGGTTATAGATATTTCATTACCTTCACGGACGACTATAGTAGATATGGTTATGTCTACCTCATGTCGAACAAATATGAATCTTTTGAGAAATTCAAAGAGTTTTAGAGTGAAGTTGAAAATCATCTTGGCAAGAAAATCAAAGCACTTCGATCGGATCAAGGTGGCAAGTATTTGAGCCATGAATTCAACGATCACTTGAAAGAAAATGGTATTCTTTCAGAGATGACACCTCCCGAAACTCCACAATGGAACGGAGTGTCCGAAAGGAGGAATTGAACCTTGTTAGGCATGGTTCGATCA